CACTCAAAAATATCCAGAAACCATATAGTCTAGTGGAAAATATGCATAAAAGCAGATAATTACAACATATGTGAGTACTGCTGTGATTTGGGTAATCATAGATGGATACGATAGAAATTGCTATCCATTCTCTCTTCACAGAAACAAAACCGATTTAATTGGAGAAAGCAATGTGCCCAGATTAAAACACAAACAAATTTTACGTTTTGCAGCATCCCTTGCAGTTAAGTCTAGCTATACAATTAAGTTCTAGAGAATAATATTCAAAAAAAAAATCACTAGGAAGAAACTTAAAAAGATGTAACAAATGCTTGTTTCTGTTTATCTGTCTGGAATATCAAAACCATAGTAGAGCTAGAGAAGCCATATTTCGACTTTGATAGAAATGAAAGCCAGAAACCAAGGACAGTAAAGCAAAAAGAGAAAAATGCCCGATTCCCTGATGACTTTGTGAGGCTGCCATTACAGTCCTGGGTTACCCATTCTCAGATTTTATGGAGATAGTAAACGCCCAATATGTTTAAACTGCCACAACCAGTCTCTGTATCTCCTACATTAGAATCCCTTGCATGTAGAAAAGTTTTCTGGATCTCCTTCTGAGTTATACTTTGTTTTATTCACTAATTTCACTGGATGGTCCCATCTATTTCTCCTTCATACTTCTCTCCTGAGTTTCATAACCACATAGCCATTTTCCTAGACCTTTGTCTTAGAATGCCCCTTAATCACTTAAATTTAACAAGCAAAACCTGAATGAATTTCCTAATCTGCTCTTCCTTCTACATATAGCTTTTGGTTAATGATGCCACTGTTGAGTAAGTTACAAATCTCAAAACCTTGGGGTAAATCAATTCTTTCTTCTTCAACCTTAACATTTAATAGATCATTGACTCTAATAACTTCTACCTCAGAAGATTTTTCATGCATGAATATACTGCTCTCCATTCTCACTAATGTTGCCTTTATCTATGTCCTCACTGTTACTCTTAGATTATTTAAAAAAATAATTCCTAAACAGGCCTCTATCTTCCAATCCCTTCCTTGCCTTTTCTAGCTCTCACCACCTTGTCAAAAACAGTTAACTTCCAGCCCTGGCTGGTGTGGCTCAGTTAGTTGGAGTGTAGTCCCTTGTACCAAAGGGTGTTGGGTTCGATTCCTGATAGGGGCACATACCCAAGTTGTGGGTTTGAACACCAGTCATGGTTCATGCAGGAGGCAACAAATCTTATGTTTTTCTCTCACATCCATGTCTGTCTGTCTATCTGTCTCTCTCTCCCCCCACCCCCTCTTCCTCTCTCTGGAATCAATTTAAGAACATGTTTTTTAAAAGCAGCTAACTTCTAAACAGAGGGATCTGTTTATGCCCATCTCAAACTTAAACTTTTTCCCATTCCTCTCAATTGCCTGCAGTGTTAGATTAATGCCATAAATGGTTCTTCTGAAACAGTTCCAATTTTGTTTTCAGGTTCTCTTCTATTCCCCACCCTCCCAGTACACACACCAACAGTACCCAGAAAGGGTACTGGGTACTGGGTGCAGTAGGATCTCGGGTTACGTCGGAGACCCGTTCCTGCGGCGTGACATAACCTGATTCTTGCTGTAAGTCGGAACCCACCTACATAAGCACCTACGTCACTCACATGGAGCACAGACACAGCAGGAATGAAGTGAAACAGTAAAAACAATTTAAAAGAAAGATAACAATTCCTGACCTTCACTTGTGGTAAATAAATGATAAAAAACATAAAGCACATAGGTACATACATTGAAATGATGAACTTTTGTTTTTATAAATAAAAGGGAGATGGCGACGGAACCACGAAACGACATACATTGAATCTGACGTAACCCTAGGACTGCCTGTATAACTGTTTCCAGTCACATCAGACCTTTTGGTGTTTCTATAAAATTCCTTATTTCCTTTTCTTTCAATTGTTCCATGTACCTTGGACTCTTTTCCTCTCCTTTCCCCATAAATAAACATTTGATTTTTCTTTTTAACCAAGGTACAGTTTAATTAGTCAAGCCTCTTTTGGGGCATTCTCTTGCCCACTTGCCAAATCAATGGGATTATTTCCTCACGCCTTACTAAGTGCTTTTGGGTAAACTACTGTTATATAGTTTATTATATTGTTTTGGAGTCATTTTTGTACATCTGAGTGTTTTATATGTGCATCTTTGAGTATTTTGAAGGCGGTACCATCTATTCATAGTTTCATCCCCCAGATGGTCTACGGTGCTGGGGTTTTGGACTAATCACACTTTGGTTTCCTAGTAATTAAAACATGTAATTTCAGGATAAGTGCTTGCAGATATAAAAAGGATTAGAAAAATAATTTTAATGACATTTTCTATTATGAGAATGGTTTTAAAATTCTTCTGCTCTAAATTCATCTTCTTTACCCTATATCCTAATACACTAGCCTAGACCCAGAAATCAGTCTACTCATTAACCCCAGAAATGCATTCCACTTACTTCTTCTTAACCAAATATATTTTCTAAAAATAGGATTTCATGAACCTGATTCTGGAATGCAAACTTTATTTAGTGATCTTTGAATCATCTGTAGTTTTGAGTACAATTTTCTGTAATTTGTAATGAGTTTCCTTGCTTTAGAAACATGCTTGTTATTTTTCAGAAGATTTTATGGGGGAAAAAGGGTGACCTAGATAAGATCTTCTCAATTTAAAGGAAAAAACGAAAAAGAACAAGACTAGAACTCAGGGTCACGGAGAGATGGAAGAAGTGTGCTTTGGCACGTACAAATGAAATGTATTTTCAAAGCTTTCCAGGATCGACCAGCAAGCAGATGGCAGTAAAGCATGTAAGAGGGGGCGTGCTCCTATTTTGAGATTTATTTTTTTTCTCATGGGAAATTATGGGCGAAATGATGACAAATAGTTTTGGATTTGCAATGCTATTTCTCATTTTATATAACAACTCAGCTTTTAAATAGTAAATCATGAATTCTAAGTGGCTCATGCCTCATCTTTCTGTAAAATATGTAAAGTTCATGAATTGGAATCATCATATCAAACAGGAAGGAATACAAACTCAATTCATATACCTGATGGAAATTATATTTTGGAGGGACAATTAATAGTAATATATTTCAGCAGTAATCTATAGGCTGAACTTCTATCAAGTTTTTTGAAAGCTCAGCTTCAGGCAACATGAAAAATTAGCATATAATTAAATCATAAAATTTACATGGACTATACCATGTGAATGATGGTGAGTGTGTGAAAATAAGAAAAGTAAATAGCTTGCCAAAACCGGTTTGGCTCAGTGGATAGAGCGTCGGCCTGCGGACTGAAAGGTCCCAGGTTCGATTCCGGTCAAGGGCATGTACCTGGGTTGCGGGCACATCCCCTGTGGGGGATGTGCAGGAGGCGGCTGATCGATGTTTCTCTCTCATCGATGTTTCTCTCTCATCGATGTTTCTGACTCTCTATCTCTCTCCCTTCCTCTCTGTCAAAAATCAATAAAATATATTTAAAAAAAAAAAAAAAAGAAAAGTAAATAGCAGACTTTGGTGTAAATACTTTTTACACATCTAAAGTATTATAATGTTGAGAAAATGAAGACTAAATGTCTAATACAGAATAAAGATACAGTATTTTAAAATGCATATATGTAATAAAATACACATGCTGTGTCTATCTGTGCATGCCTATAAACATGTATGTATTCATACACACATATTTTCTGTGTGTATAGATTGTGACAATTTAAAATATACTTTCCTTTGAAAACTGAAAGGATACCAATCTTGTATAGGTTGTGTTGATTTATAAATTCTTTTGCAAAATATAAATGTAAAAAAAAACACCAATTTGTTTACCTTTAATAATAACTACACATAATTTCCAAATTACTCACTTTTGATTTGTGCTCTTCACTTTCATCATACATTCCAAGTTGCCCATCTGAATAGAGAAGGCATAGGTCTTTGAAGGTAAACCCCAATTCTGGCATTTACTAGTATGACCGCTGAGAAGCTATTTAACCTTTCTAAATTTCATTTTTTTCAAGTATTAGAGTAAACGAAACAAGCCAATAAACAATCTAGGAGGCATACTGTTGTGAAGATAAAAGACAGGCAAGAAACAGTCTATGGGGCTTAGTTCCCTGCCCTCTAGTCTTAATGGTAATTCTTTGCTTGCATTTTTGTAACTATGTTCTTTTAAGAATGTTAGCTCACTGCGGGAGAGTCCAAAGTCAGGCTATTGAGGTCCTAAACATTTCAAATTTATAAGTATACTGTTATCATTTTTACAAAATTTGTCTTCATGAATGTAAGTTCCCATAACATTCATGATGTTTCACTTTAACTTAAATTTATAATCTTGTTCCATGTCCTTCTCAGAGTCACTGATAACTGAATCCAATACTGATATAAAATATTTTATTACCATACCCACTCTAAAGAAATATTATACTGTTATTAAAAATGAGTAGAAAAGTTAGATGTTATTTCTACCATGGTCATTTTATAGCAGACTGAAACTCAGGGTCACCAAAGAATTCATGAAAGTTCATCTAAATCTATAATGTTCTATCATATCCCACTTCTAAAATTATATATGGAAATAAATCTTTCAAAGCCTGCATTTCTATGTTATGGTGGGAATATAAATTAATCATAAAATTATTTTAACTTTCAATGCCATATGAATTTCATTTTATGAAAATTATAGGGTTCGATTCAGAGTTCCGTCTGTACTCTTTCTGAAGTCTGAAAATCATGCTCTAAGTATTATTTCTCACCCAAGTGTCTTATAAAACATGATTCATTCTAGTATCTCTGAAGTAAATAAAAATAAGTTGTACCTATGTAGCATATCTTTAAGAAATCTGGTAAGATTTCTCACTAGTTTACATGCAACTTTTTACACTCCAATTGAGTTGTTAACCTACATGGACATGTAAGATTTGGTGGAATAAGGAGGTTTTAAGCATCTTCTACAATATGATATTAGTTCTGGGCAGTACTCACAGCTGACATGATGAGCTCTCCCCCCAGGCTCTGGATCTCAGCTTTAACTTGGCTGCAGATTTTCAGTTGGTGAGAGTAGAATTTAATCTGTTCTAGATAAGCCAGCAAGTCCTGTTTGCATGATGGATCTGGACACTAAATATGCATAAAAGATAAAAGTGAAAATAGCAAAATTAATAATAACTAGATCAAAGTGAGGAAATATTGACATTTCAAGTGACTTATAAGCAATTTTATTTTCATTGAGCTCTAATTCTCAGACGAAGGCCATGCTTCCTCCATTAGAGGAGTTTATTCATGTTTTGACCTTAATTACTTCAGCACAGACAAAAGAAAGATTAAAGAAATATCCAAACATGAAGAGGTACATAAAATAATGCATTTAATTTATGATAAGGTTAGAAGTGTTCAGATTATATTTTTAGGTAAATCCAAGATAAATGCAATTATTCCTTTAACCTAGAGTTGCAATTAGAACACTCTTCTGAACTCATAATTCTGCATTGTCTGTGCTTTGTTATTTACATGAGCATAAAAAATCATCTGCAACAAACTATATATTATGTTCTCTTAATTTCAACATTTAATGCTCTTAGCTATTACAACAAAAGAAATCAGTCCACCTTAAATAACAGCTGTGGATCTACCTGGAGCTAAGAAACAGAAGGCATGCATCCATGTTTTATAGATGTGCTAAATTTCTTTACCTATGTTATATTCACTTCTGTAAGGAACTATCTGGAATACAGCTTTGAGCTTCATCATAACATAAATATCTATGATCTGTGTTTAATCTTTGTGTTCTTTCTTCTATGTAATTAAAATAGGTTTTTAAAATTCCCAATAACTTAATTCTAATTCAAATGCATTTTCATAAGGATGCTGAAATATGGAGAGTAATTTTATGTAAAGATATTCATTGCAGCATTACTTATAATAGCAAAATTTGAAAATAACTTAAATGTCCTAAAAGAGTGGAAAGATTAAAGGTGAATGCTCTTCATATAATGTGATATTACATAGTCTACAAAAAAATAATATTTTCAAAGGATGTGGAAAATGTTTTGGGAAAGTGAAAAAAACCAGTATTTAAAATATGTTGTTTAATTAAATGGTATAAAACAAAATGGTTGCATTATGTTTAAAATATACACTACTGATAAACTAAAATGCAAAATCCTATACAATAAAAGCCTACTATGCAAATTGACTGAACAGCAGAACAACTGGTGGAATGACCGGTCGCTATGATGTGCACTGACCACCAGGGGGCAGACACTCCATGCAGGCGATGCCCCCATTCCACAGGTCCCAGGCCAGCCAAGGTGGGTGCCAGCAGGGGCCCCCTGATCACCCCGCCGGTCACCCCACAGATTGGCCCTGATCGCCGGCCAAGCCTAGGGACCCTACCCATGCATGAATTTCATTCACCAAGCCTCTAGTAAAATATAAGATAGGATAAAAGATCAGAAAGCCTTCCTGGAATTTCTGCTTTTACCTAGTAGTCAATAAGCTGGAGTGCTGCCAGAAAATACCTGAGAATCCCTTTTATATTTGAGAATAGACTACTCTACATAGCTCCGGAATGTGTGGACAAGATGAAAACATGGGAACCTTGAATAAAAGTTAATCAACAAATGTAGCAAAGAAATAAACTCTTTTGCATAAATACTATCAATCTGCTAGATAGGCATGGACATATGAAACATGTGTTAACCAGCCAGGGCTACCACCAGACAAGATGAGAGAGATCTTGATTTTAACTGTGTTTTTAAAATTTTAAATGAGGAAGTAAGAGTAATCCCCCAAATCTCACAGAAAGGGTTAAGTTATAACTAATTAAGGAAAGGGACAAGAAAAAGTGAGAGACAGAGACAGAAAAAGAGAGAGAGATGAAGGGGAGGAGGAAGAAGAGGAGGATAGGTTGCAAGTGTACAATTCTATGACACATCACTTATATATTGCATTGTGTGCCCATCACCAAAATTCAAATCCTCTTCTGCCATCATATACTTGACTCCCTTTACTCTGTAGTTTCTCTCAGCCCTATTCCCTTTGGTAACCAGCATACTGTTGTCTGTGTCTATGAATTTTTGTTTCTTTGTTTTCCTTACTTGTTCTTGTTGCTTTCAGTTTTTTATATCCCACATCTGAGTGAAATCATATGGTTCTTGACTTTTTCTAACTTATTTTGCTTATCATGATTGGATAAAGAAGATGTGGTACATATTTACAATGGAATACTACTCAGTCATAAGAAAATATTAAATACTGCCATATGCAACAACATGGATTGATCTTGAGAATATGGTGTATTCTCAGATCTAATTATTGTCCTTTTGCACATTTGCAAACTAAGTTTTGATAGAGCATATAAATCATCTAAAGATAATTTGAATTTTGTATTCTGTTTCATTCCCTGCATCAAATCTCTTCTACATGACATTCATTGAAAACACCATTTTCATTGTTCTCATTGAGTAACAGCCTTATCTATTTTTTGTTCTTATGGATGAACTCAATGAAAACCTCTGACATGTAGTGTTTTATTTGCCATATACTGTTCCAGGTACTTTGCCTATACTAACTATTTTTAATAATTACACAACTACATGAGGTACGGTCTCTTATTATCCCCACTTAGCAAAGAAGGAAACTGAGGCACAGATATATTAATTGATTGCCCAATTAATAAATGGTAGAGCTGGTATTCAAACTGACATCATCTGGCTATACTTACCTACCTCTATAATCTAGGAACAGTATTAGTCTTCTTACCAGTTTTATCTTATACTAGAGGCCTGGCGCACGAAAATTCGTGCACTCAGCCCAGCCTGCTCCCTCTCACAGTCCAGGAGTCCTTGCCTGTGGCAGGTGACCAGGTGGGCCGATCAGAGGACTGCACTGGCTGCAAGCGGCCGACTCCACTCCCTTCTGACCTCCACTCCCTTCTGTCCATTCAGTTGATTTGCATATTACTCTTTTAATATATAGGATAGTTAACAGTAAACTGCCACCCTGATTTGTAAATTGATTCTTAAATGGACACTCTTATCTATAGGATTTTTTCCTTAAAGACCAGCACCACTATATCACAGATGATAAAATTGAACTTGCAAATTAATAATTAGACCCTTAACCAATTACCAATGTTGCCACCACCAAGAAAAACATACAATCTCTCTCAAGGTATTCTTTCAAAGCCATACTCAAAGAGTTTAGAATTCTGTTAAGAAACATTCAAATGAGCAGAAAATGTGAAGTTGAACTTTTGAAATTAAAAGTTGCCTGAGCTAGCTTTACCCTTTACTTCCAGAATTAATGAAAATCTTGCTTACACCTAACAATGCTAGTCAGATTTATAACTGAAGGACTAAAAGCATACTAATTGGTCAATTTTATAATGCAAAATTTATTACAGCCTTCTTCCTATTGACATTTGGAAAGCTTTTCTGATTGGTTTTGACCACCTAAAAGCAGAATCAGGAGAATGAATCATTCCCACTTGAAGAATGCTCCTCTAATGGATATAAAAGAGATGGTATGTACACAATGGGATATTGCTCAGCCATAAAAAAGAACAAAACCTCTCCATGTGCAACAATATAGATCAACCTAGAGAGTATTATGCTAAGTGAAATAAGTCAGGCAAAGACAAATCCCATATGATTGCACTTACATGTGGCATCTAAAAAAAGAAAAAAACGAAAGGTAAAACTCATAGATACAGAGAACAAACTGATGGTTGTCAGGAGGGAGGGGAGTTGGGGCCATGGATGAAAAAGGGGAGGGGACTAGATGTGCAAATTGCCAGTCATGGAGATATAAACAGCACAGGGAATACAGTCAATAATATTGCAATTATGTATGATGTCAGGTGGGTACTAGGCTTATCAGGGTGACCTCCTCATATAAGTTATATAAATGTGTAATTATGATGTACACCTAGAACTAATATACTATTGTATGTCAACTATAATTGAAAAATTAAAAAAAATATTTTTAAAAATGTTCCTATTTGCCAAACCTCCTTTATTAAAGTCAAATAATCTTTCCCCTAATTTTTTTTTATATGATGGTGATAAAAAAAAAAGTTTGAGCCTTATATTTGTAAAACATTCTTGGCCTTGACTTTTAAAAAAATAAAATTTTCATAAAATATCTTTTAAAGGAACTCTGCTCAGGATTTCAAGACAAATCCAGTGGTAGACTATCATAACAGTGTGGGTATTTCTCAGTTTATTAAGATAGGAGATGTTGACCAGGACATCTGGTTAGCTTTTTAATGCATGGATATATATTTTTTCTAAATTTATAACTACTAAGACTCTCACTACAGGCAAGCAGATGGCATGCCAGCCTAAGTGGGTTTCTCATGCTAAACCAGCTTTCACTCTTCTAGCAAGATGCTTGGTCCCAATGCAGAATCCTTCATTTAGGAGTGAGAAGAAAAGTAAAACACATTACCTTTCAGTTTCAATTTTAAGAGTGAATTAGAAAAGTGAATACTTTAAAGACCTTTATTCTAAAGCTCAGCTATTTTTGGCCACAATAGAATATAAACTTTATTTTAAAAACACAATGACTTTTGCAATTACAGACAACAGTTTAATTTCTGCTAAACTGGCAAAGTTTGCTAACAAAAAGTATGAGGTGTCATTGTGACTGCTAGAATAGAAATTTTGAGTAACCAGTGATAACAAGAACAGTGTGTCCAGGACCTTTCCCTTCCCAGGATGGAATCATTTCCCTACCAGTGCTCCAGCCCAGAGGCTGTCTATAGGACCAGCACCACTATATCATAGCTGATAAAATTGAACCTTCCTCAGGGTCACATAGCATCAATTGTCCCATTTATTTCTGCACTTTTAATGTTTTCACCCTTGAATCGATCAACATAAAAATCCCTGAAAATAATAACCCTTCTTCAACCCTGTAACCCCATCTCCCTCTCTTGTTATTCAGGAACATGCCCTCTAACAATTGTCAATGCTGCCCTTTTGGTGTTCTCAGTTTTTGTTCTTGGGTATCATTTCACTCTTACCCTCTTCCTGGATAATAGTATACACTGTCGTGGCTTCAGCTATCACTTACAAAATAAAAAATAATAATAATAATTATCAATCATCCAGTTCTGTCTTCAGAAGTTCCATATACCTATTGCATTTATTCATTTTATTGTCTTATCAACATTTCACATCCAACACATGGAACCCTCAACTATCTCATAATCCATCTTGCCCACGATAAAACTATTTTTCTATTCAATTTACTATCTCAATAAAGAGGGCTTTTCCTCACTCTATCAAATTTGGTTAGTCATCAATTTGAGATGATTTTACATGTAGAAATCTCAGTACACTTTGGACATTTCCCTTCTTTGCTATGTCTATCTTTGCTGCACTTTAGCAAGCTGAGGTTTCTAAAACACAGAAGAAAAGGTAGCTATGGAAGGTATAGCTAAAACCAACAGTGGGACTTGCTCTGGCTGGGTGGCTCAGGGGTTGGAGCATCGTCCCATGTACCAGAAGACTGATTCCAGGTCAGGGCATGTACTTAGGTTGTAGGTTTAGTTCCCACAATCAATGTTTCTCTCTTTCTCTCCCTTTGTCCCTAAAATCATTAAAAACATATCCTCAGGTGAAGAAGAAAAATACAGTGGAGCTCTTTTATTATGTCAGAGATAAAGGACAACAGACTCATATGGTCTACACTGACTGCTGACTTGTGAGAGTTTTATTGGGAAAACTATGGTCTGACATTTTTTAGTGCATAGACTAAAATTATCTTGAATTTAAGAATTGTTTTCAATTCATTTTCAGTTTCAACTTGGATTGGACATAATATAGAAAACCAGAAGTTTTGGATTCAGTCATTTGGTCACGTATTAGCATAGAGTTTATTTTTAACCATAAATACTAAATACTAACAAATTAATAAAATATGTATAATGCTTAAAGTAGCTAGACACTGAATATGTGTGTGTGTGTGTGTATATTTATATATATATACTCAGAATGTTTAAAACGATTTGTTATTATTTCTTATTTATTTCTCCTCCTTATATCCACAAATACAACATATAATAAGAGAAAATTCTTCATGTTTTAAGAAATAGAGGATAAAAAGAGTAAATAATAATAAGCATCCCAATAAAAGTATATAAGCTATAAATAATATGGAATAGTTACAAAGTCAAAAAGAATAGTGCCCCTTTCCCCCCAAGGGAGATAAATATGCATTATAAAGTTGAATAATATGAAACCTGCAAAGTAATACTACATCTCAGTTTGAAATATCAACTAAATATGCCTATACCATAACTAAAAACTGACTTTCCTAACTTTCATGTTAGGCAAAAGGTAACTTTAATAATCTAGATGCTGCCTAGAAAACGGAAATACAGATGAGAGAAATGTAAAGAAAAATACCAACTATATAAATCATCGGTCTCTATAAGCATTATATACCTGTACATTTTAAATCTTCACTTTAGTACTCTAATAATTACTACTTACAATTTTACATAGGGTGCCAGAATATATTGTTGACTCAGAAAGTATAACATAATAGAATTCTGAAAAGTATTACTTTTTGAAGAGCAAAAATAAGAAATATAAGGTATTAAGGAAAAATGTTAACATTGGATATTAAATCCAATGGAATATATTTGAAATTCAAAAAATATATTTGATATTTAAAATAATTTGAATATGTGAAACTCAAAATCTTAGAAATAATCAAGTCCTAAGTAATAACAATAATGCACTAAGCTTCCTTAGAATGAATTGTCCACTACTTATGTATTAATTACTGAATAAAATTTAAAAATAATTCAGTAATAAAAAATAATCCAATAGAGTAAAATTTCAACTCTTAAAAATTAACATTGAAATGGCAGAAAACAATTTCTAGACTTGCACCACATGCATTTGTAGAAAATTCACCTGGTTGGCAATCTGTCGAGCAAGGACATCCATCCTTGATCCTGATTCTGATATCATTTTAGCTGCATAGATCACATCAGTCGTGTGCTTTAACGGTCCTTTGCCCCTTAAAGTAAAAGAATACATGTTAGTTGAAGTGGTTCATGCTAATATACACATACACACATCCCATAAACACACAGATTTGCACCCCAAAGTACTGGCTATTAGCTTTATATACTTCAGTTTTAGATAGGTCTCAATTAGACTTCAGTATTAAGTAAGACAAAATAAAATAAAGGCCTATTGTATTAAGATGCAAGAAATACTGCCAAGGAGATGGATTACTTTCAATCTTTATTCCCAGGTATTTCTTATAATAAACCTCAGTCTAAAAATACTCTTAGAATATGTAGATACCTTAAGGCAAACACATTTTCCTAATTCTAGGAGGAAACGTGAGATTTAAAATTTGATATATGTCCAACAGCAATTTTGATCAGACTTTTAGTCTTGTTCTTTCTAATTCTTTTTTTAAGAGTATTTTGGTTAATTGCATTTTGTTTTTAATTACATTATTTCTCCTCCACAATTAATTCATATTAATAATCATTGAGTATGAACCTGAAGTCATACTATCTTGTACTATTTACCAAAATCAGATCACTTCTTACTATTTGTCTAAGGAAATCAAGATAAATACCCACTTTGTACCTCAGTTTTTTCGGTGGTAATAGAAGCATCTACTATATAGAATCATGCTTTTATTTCTACAAAGTGCTCAGAACATTGCTTTAAACAAAGTAAGCATTTAATAGTACAAGTTATTATTGTTATAGTTGTTACTTTAAAATAATCTTGATTTCTAATGCCACTGAATCAAAATTGTGTCCATTTAGAGCTTTTACAAGGTGGTTAAGAAGAAAGAAGTGCACTGCCTACATTTTTGTAGAGGGATGAGATAAGGAGATATTTTTCTGATTTCTCTTTCCTCAGAAATAAATGAATGATTGCCTGAACGAATGTAACTGTCCATCTACCTAAAACCACTCCTCTCTCCTTACTTCCTTATGTCCAATTGCTAATCCTCTACTGAGTGTCAAATACTGGCTGTTCTAACTATTTGGGTTCTATTCCTTATTTTTCAGAGAATGGGACCCTGAAGGAAATGCTATCATAATTGCTTTTATAAATTTTTATTAAATTTATTGGGGTGACAATGGTTAATTAAATTATATAGGTTTCAAATGTATAATCTATAATAATAAAAGGGTAATATGCTAATTAGACTGGATGTCTTCCGGAAGTCATTCTGGACATCCTTCCTGATGAAGTCAGGGCCAGAGCGAAACCAGCCCAGGTCCTGGGTGCCAGAGGGAAGCCGGTGCCAGCAGCCTGGGTCCCTGGTGCCAGAGGGAAGCCGGTGCCGGCAGCTGGGAGAAGGAAAGCCTACTCTTGCATAAATTATCATGCATCGGGCCCCTAGTTTTATAATACACCATCTGTATATTATAACATAAGTAGAGGCCCAGTGCACGAAATTTGTGCACTCGGGGAGGGTCCCTCAGCATGGCCTGCTCCCTCTCACAGTCTGGGAGCCCTCGGGGGATGTCTGACTGACAGCTTAGGTTCACTCCCCCCAGGGCAGTCAGACATCCATAGCGTTGCCAAAGAGGCAGGAGAGGCTCCCACCACCACTGCTGAGCTCACCAGCTGTGAGCCTGGCTTCTGGCTGAGCACTGCTCTCCTTGTGAGAGTGCACTGGTCACCAGGTGGCAGCTCCTGTGTTGAGAAGAATAAGGCTGAAAGCAGCTCTCCAACATTCCCTAAGGGATCTTGGATTTCGAGAGGAGAGGGTGCAGGCCAGGTTGAGGGACCCCACTGTGCATGATCAGGGTCAGGGAGGGACACGGGAGGTTAGCCAGCTGGGGAGGAACCTCAGGAGGCTCCAGGGCATGTCCAGCCCATCTTGCTCAGTCCTGATCGGCCGGACCCTAGCAGCATGCTAACCTACCGGTCAGATCATCTACCCCCTGGTAGTCAGTGCATGTCATAGCAACTGGTCGACTAGTTGACTATCTGCCCCCTGGTGGTCAGTGCATGTCATAGTGAGCAGTTGAGCAGCCTTAGCATATCATTAGCATATTACGCTTTGATTGGTTGAGCAGATGACTAGACTACTGGACACTTAGCATATTAGGCTTTTATCATATAGGGTTGTTTTGATGCTTTGATGGGTGAAGGGAGAGTGATGAGGTGGGCAGGAGTAGTAAACTGGTCAGAGTGAGAAAAGGAAGGTTTTGAGAGGCTAACACCTAGCATAATTAGAAGAGAAAGAGAATGAAACAATCTTTGTTCATGTCTAATTTACACCTTGGACTGGTTCTGAGGGTAGATGCCCTAATGTTAAATCCAAAGACTTGTTATTAGAGGAAATTCTTCATTCACTAAGGTGACTATGACTAACAGAAGAGATTCATGCAAAGATAAATGATCAGAGTATTCTCTACTTGAAAACTGAATGCCAAAACGCATGTGCCAAGTAGGCCCATTCATTGCACTTTTTCTGCGGTGCCTCTCAAATTCATTATAAGCAAGTTTCCCTATAAAATGGAACATCATGTCTAGCACAAGGGAAGCCTGGCCTCTGAAGATGGTCATCATCATACTTCTTTTTAAGTCTGCTGACACATGTTGCTTTGTCATTTTTAAAAACACCAACATTAATCAATACAGTATTTGAGTTGTTCTTATCAAATTTATCTATCAGGCGGGGCTAGATGTTATGTACATGGTTATGCTCAAGAAAGGCATTGCATTTCATTATTTCGATGCATCTCCAGAGAAAGTTAAACTTCAATAAAGCTGTCTCAGCTCCCGAAAGGGCAATGCATCAGTGTCCGAGGCCTTAACACAATGGACAAAGGCTGTTTCTAAGGAGAGCAGCTAACATTCTGAGTTTGAACAACAGACAAAGTGTTATATCTAAGGAATGAGGCTAATGTACCTTACCACTCAAAATAATATATCTCCCCATATAAAATCAGTGGCCCAAGGAGAGGGAAATTACCTCTAGCTTTAAATACACACCTTGTTATGAGACCGCTGTCCTAAACACATGGAGAACTTAAAAGTAACGATAATACATTATGACAGACTGCAATTATTCCCTTCCCCGTGTTCCTAATTAAATGTATTGCCTGGCAAGCTTCCTACTGAACGCCACACAGAATTCACATTTTACAAATGATTCCATATCATGCCGGGCTTCCAGAGGAAGCTGCAATTACTGAAACTGTGATAAATTTTTTAACATCCTCAGCCTGAAATGTGCTATGTAATGAAGGCTTTTTAAAATCGGGAAATACATTCAAAGGTTGTTTGCTGCCTTCATTTTCATAATGGGTTCTCAGGATCTCCTGTCAGCAAATTGTGTCTTAAATCATTGAGCCTGGATCCTACAGAGAAAGACACCCAGAAGAGGAGGGGGTAGACTTTGGAAATATTTTAAAGGAACCAGAGGCCAGAAATCCTTAATTATATATTTCCCCCAGAAGGAGGGCAGATGAAACTCTGGACTAGAGTTGGACAATTAATCATTAAATTATAGGTTACAGCCGTGGGCAAACTACGGCCCGCAGGCTGGATCCGACCCATTTGAAATGAATAAGACTAAAAAAAAAAAAAGACCGTACCCTTTTATGTAATGATGTTTACTTTGAATTTATATTAGTTCACACAAACACTCCATCCATGCTTTTGTTCCGGCCCTCCGGTCCAGTTTAAGAACCCATTGTGGCCCTCGAGTCAAAAAGTTTGCCCACCCCTGGTTAGAAGGTATAATGGGAAGGGCTGCAATCACCCAGTGATGTGCATGCCATCGAAAACTTTATTAATGCAAGTGAAAGCGGTTGAAACGTTATTTGTGCAACATACGCCTTTGAGCTATGTTTGACACTGCCCCAATCTTGATTCTCATTTCTTTCCCTGTCCTCACCCCATTTCTGGCACCCACCCCTCCCTTCTTTCTCTTAATTAGCAGAAGTAATAACAAGATGATACAGCTGCTCAGTAACAACTCAACCAACTGGAAAATTGCTTTAATATTAGAAAATATCAAATAGTTTCATGGACCGACTTTGTCTTTTAGGGCTTGAGAATAATTTTGAAATAATTGGTATTTTCTGCTACTAATTAAAAATAAAACAAAAAGGTTAATTACATCTTTTGTAGTCCCTAAATCTTTGATAACATATTATCCCTCATTTCAAGACCAGAATATTCCCTTTAATTCTCTTTTCCTTTGATATTTATGTATAAATGCCATGACATTGTGAAAAGCTTAGTAGATGAAAACAATGATAGCATATATTTTGCTACATAATAGTTAACACATTTAGCATTTGCTATGTGCTAGGCAGCATTTTCTACACAAACTAATTTGACCATTATCATGACCCTATGATTTTTGAATTATTATTATCCTCATCACACAGATGAGGAAACTGAGGAACAAAGACGTTAAATTTATATTTTATCAAGTTCAACAGCTTTTAGGTATTGGGGATAGTATTTGAATTCAGGGGAACTGATTAGCGAATCTGTTCTCAATGACTATCCTATATGTCTTTCAATAAAACACATAAAGATCAAATTATATTATTTTAAAATGTCTGCTTAAGACATGATGAGAGTTACCATGAAAGCAACAGAGTGCAAACATGAGGGTTAGATATAGGTGCTGGGTATTCAGGAGGTCCACCATAGTGACTTCATTCACACAACAGCTTCAAGGAACACGACCTAAGTTTGTCCCAGTTCCCCCAAAATATGCATGTGCTACATGACGTAGACTTTCAGAATCTGGCAAATGGTTGAAATAACATCAATAGTTGGCTTTCCTGCGATTTTTCTCATAAGATATTATTTTTCGTTATGATTTTCCCAGGTGCCTTTCCCCCTCTTCCTTTCTCCCTGGATATAATCACTAGACTCAAACTCAGCCTTTACAAACACCCTATCAGAGATTGCACGTTGATGTTTATTTCTAATACAACAAATACAACTTTTTCTCCTAGAATCTTAGACATTTGTTTTATTTAATCCTAACACTCAAGTTTAGTGCTG